TTTTGAAAGTTATAACTGAATCTATTTCCACCTTTCAGGTAGCACATTCCAGATCACTGTGTAAAACCTTTTCTACCTTCCCTCTCATTCTCTTGCCAATTACCTTAAAGCTTTGCCCTGTTTACCGATCCTGCCATGGAAAACATTTCTCCTTACTTTCTCAAAACGCCTCGTTATTTTGATCACCTCTATTAAATCTGTCCTGAACCTTCTCTGATTAAATCTAGTAACTGAAATGTATTATTTCTGGTATATTTTGCTAAATCTCCCATGTCTCCAATCTCTCCAAGATTGCGATTGGCTCCTTTTCGGATTTCTCCCACATTGTACGGTATTGTTTCCCTGGACCTGCATTGTGTTCACTTGTGATTTACTCTGTTTCCTGATGCACCTGTCATCATTGTATTGTTATATTCAGCCAGTTGCTCAATCTCATGTTATTTACTGAACCATGGTAACTTTGAAAAACTTTAAATAAACAGATGAGGGAAACACCATGCGGTGTCAACACAGTATGTCTGGCATGGATCCTTCAGTGACTGAGGGAGAGTGTGACAGAAGACATAAGGTTGTATCTCATTCCTCATTTGTGTTCTGTTCATTCGGAGCAATAATCAGAACACTCCCAACCACAGGCTGCACTCTGAGAATGAACATTGTACATGCAAGTTCCATGTTGGAAGCGGTAAAACAATAGAATAGATGTAGATAACACAGTAATCCAGTTATTTCCACTCCCTGATCTTACCCCATATCTAAAAAAATTAAGTATTTTGAGTATTTATAAAATACCTTTTGGAAGACTACAATTGGATCTGTGTCTATCAGCCTACCAGAACATTCTAAAACCTAACCACTTGGAAAAGATTTGGACTGATGCCATTTCTCGTTCTTTTGTCAATCAGTTTAATTTGGAGGTACTGCCTTTTAGTTGACATATTAAATCCAGGTCCTCTCGGCTAAAGGATCCCAACACAAAACACTGAAGAAATGCAGGGAAAGATTATGTTTATCCCTTAACCAACACACAACAGATCATCTGGTCATTGTAACCTTATTTATCTTAGCCTGATCAGGAAGCACTTCTTAGAAATAGGAACCAGAGTAGGCTATTCAGCCCCTCCAGCTGCTGTGCCATTCAACAAGATCATGGTTGATCTGATAAGCTTCACATCCTTCACACAACAGACAGTGGAAATCTAGAACTTTCTGTTCAAAATAATAATGCTGGATGTCAATTGAAAACTTCAAAAACTGGCAATTGTTCCAGAGTTTGCAGGCTAAATCTGAAAAATTCCTGATGTAGGCAGCTTCAAGTGGATGACTGTCCTGGATGATGAGGGAGTGAATTATTAAAGGAATGTGGTTATAATAACAAAATAAAAATTAAGGTCAGAGAGTCCAAGCTTTTTAACTTAGTGTCCTCAAAACAGCATTTCACAGTAGCTTGGGTCTGCATGCATTGCTTCAATCGGTCTCCCTCATTACTTTTTCCATGTACTACTGAAAACCTCTCAGAATCTCACAACACAAGAGCTGGTCATTCAGTTCAACATGCTTGTGTTGAGTTTTCGATTTTTCCAATTAGTCCTACACTGCTGCTTTTCCCCATGATCCCGCAATTCTCTCCCCTTCAGGTATTTATTCAATTCCATTTTGAAAGTTACCATTGAATTTGCCTCTATCATTCATTCAGGTAACAAATTCCAGACCACAAGAACTCATTGTGTAAAACTATTTATTTGCCTCTGGCACTTCTGTCAATGACCAAATCATGGGATTTAACAATAAAAGCCACAGGATCTTCCAAATAAGAATATGCACAATTTACATTCTCATCTACCCTTCATTCCCTCAACCATTTCTTACAGCAACATTGGGATAGAAGGGGACAATCAGACTGGGTCCTAGGTTATAAAGGGGAATAGTGAGATGTTTCCACATGCGAAGTTTGATCAGGGTCACTTACTTAATCTTTTTTATATTTATTTATTTGTGGGATGTGGGTATTGCTGGCTGGCCAGCATTTATTGCCTGTCCCTATTTGTCCTGGAAAAGGTGGTGGTGAGCTATCTTCTTGAACCGCTGCAGTCCACCTGCTGTGGGTTGACCAACAATGCCGTTAGGGAAGGAATTCCAGGATTTTGACCCACTGACAGTGAAGGAACGGCGATATATTTCCAAGTCAGGATGGTAAGTGACTTGGAGGGGAACTTGAAGGTGTATCTGCTGCCCTTGTCCTTCTAGATGAAAGCGGTCGTGGGTTTGGAAGGAGCTGTCTGAGGATCTTTGGTGAATTTCTGCAGTGCGTCTTGTAGATAACAAAAACCACTAGATGAAGTAAGACTACTTGTTTGTTTTAACCATTGAGAAAGTGCAGTTGCTAAGCTGATGCATCACCTTTAACATAATTACATTTCCCAAAGCATTCACAGAAGTATTATAAAACAGAAGGAGCTTGCAGGACAAACAACCAAAAGCTCAAACAGAGGGAGGTTTTAAGTGTCTTAAAAAAGAAAAGGAAGTTGGGAGGTAGAGAGCTGAAAGTGAGGGAATTCTAGAGCATTAGCCCAGGGATCGGATGACACAGCCACCAATGGTGGAGTAATTAAAATTGGGAACGCACAAAGGCCAGGATTAGAAGCGCATGGATGTCTTGGACACCTGTTGGGTTGAAGAAGATTATAGAATGTGGAAGGGGAAAGGCCATGGAGAGATTTGAAAACAATGATGAGAGCTTTAAAATCAAGAGAATATTTGACCAAGAGCCAATCACGGTTAGTTAGCACAGGGACGAGAAGAGAACGGGACTTGCTGCACGTTAAGACATGGCAGTACAGTTTTGAATGACCTGAAATTTAGATGACAGAATGTGGGAGACTGTGTAGGAGTGTGTTGGAATAGTCAAGTCCAGTGGTAACAAATACACAGATGAGCGTTTCAACAACAGGTGGCCACAGAAATGGGAAAGGCAGTGGATGTCGTGGAGATGAAAATAGGTGATCTTAGTGATGGCACAGATGCAAGGTCAGAAGCTTATCGCAGAATCAAATGTAGGGTTGTGAACAGACTGACAGCGTCAGACCGTTGTTAGGGCTAGGGAAGGAGTTGATAGTTGGGAAACAGTATACATGTATAAGATTCTACTGAATGGAGATGTAAGACCAAAGGTTGTATGGTCCACTCCTGTTCCTATTTTTAATCTTAGTTCTAGCTGCTTTCTTCTCGGAACCCTGTAATCTCCACACACCCTGTTCCATTCCCCCCTTAGCTCTGAATCACTAAATTGAAGCCAGTTACGTCTGTACAGGCTTGGATTGGACTCGTGCTGTTCAACTGGAGATGCATTTACTCATCAAGAAGAGTGGTTTGGCAAGTTATTCCTCTACACAAAACAAATTAACATTTATTACACAAAATCGTGCTGTGGTCAGCAAACAATGCACATGGTGAACTGATCATTTCAACTCGTCACTCACATCCCAATAAAAAACATATTAAATCCTGGTTATTTCCTATACGTGATACATTCACTTTACAGGAATAAAAATAAGGACAGGTTGTTCTTTTGAAGGGAAGACACTTGGGAGCCTTGTGGTGAGAGGAGTCAGTGACAGGTTGCCTCATCATCTTTAATTCTTTAAGGTTAGCACTGTTAATGAGAAACACAGGCCTGCTGTCTGGGCTACAGAGCGGAAAGCTGCATGCCAAAGAACACTGGACCTTTATTCATCTTCAAATACCTTACCTTCGAAGCAACTAGTTGTAGGCCAATTGGGTAACAACGTTTTTGAAATTCCACAACTTCAACACAATGGAGAATAGTCTTCACATTCCTTAAAAACACAACTTAGCAAACAATTTGGCAGGAGAATCTGTTTTCAGAAATCCAAATTCAATTGCAATTGAATCACTTTTGGTGAAGTAGTCTTGTGTTCAGGCACAAGGAACTAATTGTGTTTAGTTCTCTTGGGGTCTTTACTCCCCCAATTCTTTTCCTCTCTGTCTATCTCTCTCTACCCTGTCATGACACTTCTTGGTCATCTGACCCAAATTCTTATATGGCAGTTCTGTTGGTTTTTTTTAAATTCACCTTGGGACATGGCCATCGCTGACTAGGCCGGCATTTACTGCCCGTCCCTAGTTGCCCCTTGAGAAGGTGGTGGTGAGCTGCTGTCCCAAGCCACTGCAGTCCACATTTTGTTCACTAACACTTCTCTGAAATGCCACTATGTAACAGAAACGGTTTTCGAAAGAACTAAATGGACACCAGTTACTTCAAATGCCTCTTCCCAAATTGTTAATCTACAACTCTCAGTTCAGACAGTGAGAGATGGCCATATCTTCAGCTTGCCTTGCTTGGTTCAGTGGGTAGCACCTTCGCCTCACAGTCCGGTCACAGTTTCCTGTCACTCCAGTACACAATCCCAGTGCAGTATTAAGGAAACACTGCACTGTCAGAGGTACCATCTTTCAAATAAGATGCTAAATTGATGTCCTATGAAATTTCCATGGGATTACTAGAAGAACAGGGAAATTATCCTGGTGTCTGAGCTAACATTCCTCTCTCAACCAATCCCATGAAAAAATAACTGGCTATTCATTAACTAAGGCAGCAGAGGGATTGGTGTAGGTGTAGTTGGAAGATGGGTATCACAGAGTGGTTGCAGATGAAACTCACTGGATTAGTGAACATGGTACAAGACAGAGTCATACCAAGACAGCTGAGCAATAGGCAGGAGAAGCTAGAGGCAGCACAGGCTGCGTGACCTTGCTGTGAACAAACTGGCTACACTTCACAAGTACTTCATTGACTATGAGGCACTGTGGGACACTGTAGGAATATGAAAGGAAGTTCAGGAATGACCCTTCTTTATTTGACATCCACAAGTTTCAGCACAGGTTACTAGACAGCACTCAAACTAGGGTCTTCAATGACTTTTATTTCCCCAGCTTGTCCTACGAACCTTGTCAAATGATTAAGAAACCTGACGCCCTGCTCCAGGGTCAATGCAATCATCGTGTTTATTGACTCTCATTCTCAAAAAGAATGTCCATCACCATTCATTTTCTCTCAGGTTCCAGCCTCTAAAAATGAAAAATAATTACCTGCCAATCAGGCAACACACATTGACAAGTGATAATTCCAACAGATTCTATAAAAATATCCATTTCCAATTTGTTAAGTGTCTTTAACTTTCGCGTAATATGGACAGTGCAAAGGAATCGCTTTGCAGGATATTGGAGTAGAAACCAATGCCCATACCATACGAATCATTCTGCTGCTCTGTTCATGTACAAAATGTACAGTATCCCTGTACCAAAATCTGAATGGATATTGTACAAAGAGACAGAACTTATGCCAAAAAACAAGGCAAGTTTAGATTCATAATCCCACAATGCAGGCATACTATAGGGGAGGGGAGAATCTCAGGAAATGAATGTGGCAAAGACAGGATGAGAGTATATCTCAGGAAATGGACATGGGATAGAAAAGAAAAGGACAAAGTTTCCTCTGGAAAAGTACCTAGCACAAGTTGTAGACACAGCTCCTGTGAGGGCCTCACAAAACAATTTAAAGTACTGCGCACTTAAGGTAATAGCATGTGCACAACAAAAGAGGGGGCATTGGGAGACGGGCTATCCTGGGAATGGACACTGCACTGAAAGAAAAGGCATATCATGGGACATAGATACAATGGATACAGGACATTGGGTATCCTACAAAAGAAAAGAGCTGGTGTCCCACCTGGTAATAACACGATAAATTACATTAACATAAAGTCTGGAACATCCCTCCACAGACAGAACAAAGGAAAAAACAAACCATTTCTTCAAAATTAAACTCAGGCCACTGACCGATTGAAATCAAAGAAACAATAAGTTCAACCGAGCCATGTGAAGAAGCAGGGATGGAGGTCAGAAAAGCTCCAATTGCACTGTAGATGAAAATGGCTGTCCTCCCATCCACGTCACACACAAGCTGTGAGGGGACACCATCAAAACAGGATCTCCAGCACCAGCTTAAGAATCCCAATCATTATGGTCCACATTACCGACTTCTCCTCTTGTACTGTCTTACCCGGGGTCCCATCGCCAGCGCCCTTGTCAGTGGGATAGGAGAGTTCAGCAAAGGGGTCCTCTATCACCCCTTGGTCCAGGTAAACCTTTATCTCGTACTCGGTCTCTGGGTGCGAGGGGTGCCCGTAGACACCAACAGCCACCGGACGACGGAACCTGGGGGGCACTACCACCCAGTCTGGGCCACAAGTCGTAGACTGCAACTCGTAGTCATCGAAACTGGGGTGTCGGGTAGAGTCGGAGACATAGAGGTCAGCGTCGCCCCGGTGACTGTCTATCTGCAGCACAAGTCGGCCAGCGTCCTCAAGGTACATGTAGGTGTAGTTTCCGGGTGTAATCTGGTCGTGGTGTACATACAGTAGGATCAAGTCATCCGAGACTGGCTCGCTGGCAGAGGATCCACCCATTGTGCCGAGCACCAATTGGTACAGAAACACTATTGGAAGCACCCCGCACACCAGAGACATGACTCGGTCAGAAATGATGATCCAGCCCGTGTCATCTGCACAGCATCTGTGGAAACAACAGCAGAAGCTTGTGTTAACTCCTTCCCTTCTGCTGCATTAGCCGGGCTGGAGAAAGGCAGGATGGAATTTAAGATGGGAAACCTTGTCCTTTCATCCCTCCCAAATGTTCTCTTTATAAATACAAACGGCTATCCATCGCTTTGTGGGAAAAAAAATGAACATCCTGCATAAGCTGTCCAGGGGACAGATAGCAGATTGTAAATGGTCCTTAAATTGGTGCTTTCACCCTGGAGGGAGGTGTACAGTAATGGAAGCAAACTCCTGTAAATGCTGGAGATCGGAAATAAAGAGAAAACATGCTGGAGAAATTCAGCAGGTCTAATAACATCCGTGGAGAAAGGAACAGAGTTAACATTTCACTTTGAGTTGGATAGAAATGGTGTGCAGGGATATGGGGGATAAGGAAGAAGATTGGCACTAGGGGATAGAACCTGTGCAAGCACAATGGGCTGAACAGCTTCCTTCTGCACTGTAACAACTCTGCGATTCTGGGTTCAATATACCTTCATTGCTCAGTCCTTTGAGTATTGGAGTTGGGAAGTCATGTTGTGGTTGTACAGGACATTGGAGAGGCCTCTTCTGGAATAGTGTCCAGTTCTGGTCACCCTATTATAGGAAGGATATTATTAAACTGGAGAGGATTGAGAAGAGATTTACCAGGATGTTGCTGGGAATGGAGCGTTTGAGTTACAAAGAAAGGCTGGATAGGCTGGGTCTTTTTTCACTGGAGAGCAGGAAGTTGAAAGGCGACCTTATAGAGGTTTATAAAATCATACAGGGTATAGATAGGGTTAACGATAGGTGTCTTTTCCCTAGGACCGGGGATTTTAAGACTAGGGGGCACAACTTTAAGTGAAAAGACAGAGATTTTAAAAGAACATTAGGGGCAATTCTTTTACACAAAAGGTGGTTTGCGTGTGGAATGAACTTCCTGAGGTAGTGGTGGACGTTTGAAAGACACTTAGATAAGTACATGAATAGGAAAGGTTTCGAGGGATATGAGCCAGGAGCAGGCAGGTGGGACTAGTTTAGTTTAGGTATATGTTCAGCATGGACTGGTTGGACCAAAGGATCTGTTTCCATGCTGTTTGTCTCTGCGACTATGATGCTTTTTTGGAATTGAAGGAAGCTGGAGAAGTTATGGGTTTAGCATGCAGTAGAAAAAAAAGAGATAAGTGCAGCAAGTGGAACAAACTGTGAATGTGCCCCAGAGCCAAAAGGCATACACTTCTGGTTCCAAGGGTTTATTATCAGGACCTCTGTTTATCTTGATATAACTAAAAATCTAGATATGGGTGCAGCATAATTTGAGAGTATGTAGATGACACAGAATTTGAGAATATAGTAAACAATGAGAAAGATAGTAACAGACTTCACAAAATATGGACAAATTGGTGAAAGGACAGATATACTGCAGGCAAAAAGAACCTGTGAAGTGACTCAAAATTTCAGAATGAGAACAGTAGCATAAAGCAAGTGCTACAGTTTTAACCAGGGCACATCAACAACAGGATAGTAACGTGTGCAAATCATCTAAGATGCTAAAACATGTTGAGACAGTTAAAAAAAGCACACAGGATCATTGGCCACATCACAGAATTGCTACAGCACAGAAGGGCCATATGGCCTATCACACCTTCACCAGTTCTATTACCTAGTCCCAAACTCCCACCTTTTCCCAATATCGCTCTAAACCGTTAATCAAAGAATACGCAGCAAAGGCTGAACCTTTATAATACACTTGTCAGGCCCTGTCTGGAGTCAATTCTGGACCCCATACTTTAGGAAGGAATCGAAGAAGGTGCACAAGAAGTTTATTAAAACAGCATCAAGGTTGAGAGACTTCAGTTACACGGAGAGATCTAAAAAGCAAGGGCTTTTCCTCAGAATCGCGTGGTTAATAGAAGTGTTAAAAATCACAAGGGGTTTTGATTGAATAAATAAGGAGAACTGTTTCCAACAGCAGGAGGATCAGTAATGTGTGGGACAACAGATTTCATTTTCAAAACAAGCCAAGGAGGAGATAAGAACTGTTTTTGTTCACTGAGATGTCGTGATCTGGAATGAGCTGCCTGACAGGGCGATGGAAGCAGATTCAATCATCACCTTAAACTTGAAACACAGGACACTGTTTAATGACAAGGGGGTCTCTCATTTCAGACGAGAAGAAATTTGTTCCCTTAGAGCCGTTAGGCCTTGAAACAGTCGAGGGAACAGTCTGAGCTGCATCAGGGAACATGTTCAGGGATGAGTTACCATTTTAATTGACAAAGGAATCAAGAGCGACAGGAGGGGGAGGAAGTTCAGGGAAAGGGAGACGGGGAGGGGGGTCATCAGGGGGAGGGGGAGGATGTGGGGGTAGAATGTGGGAGGTGGGGGGGGAGGGGGGAAGAGAATGTGAGGGCCA